AGCATGTGGGATAGATGAGAGCAGGCCGGTTATAGCGATTAGGAGATACACAGGACCAGTGATAATTGCGAGAAGACACATGAACAGGAATGGAGGAAATACACATGATTATAGCATGAGGGGCTAGAAAACTAAAGAAAATAAAAATAAGACACCAGCGGTAATTAGCTGAATCAGAGTAGGATTTGCCTCCTCTTTGCCTCCTCTTTGCCTCCCTCGTGACTCCAGCAGGACTCCAATGTCTTTGTCAGTCTTCGGCTGTCTGACGCTAAAGCTGATATTCGCTCTTCTTTTTCTGACTCACCTTTACTCACCGCTGGGTCACCAGACCCTCCTTTCACCCACACACTGACCTCCTTCTCCCCTCTCTGTGAGGTTCTTACCCTCATTACCTCTGCCCGCCCTACCACCTGTCCTCTGGACCCTATCCCCTCAAACCTCCTTCAGACTATCGCTCCTGATATTCTACTGTTTCTCACCCATTTCATCAACACTTCTCTAACTTCTGGTCACTTTCCAAACAGTCTCAAGGAGGCAAGAGTAAACCCTCTCCTAAAGAAACCCACTCTCAACCCGTCTGATATTATAAACTACAGGCCTGTCTCTCTCCTCCCGTTCCTGTCTAAAACACTTGAACGCGCTGTCTTTAGACAACTCTCCTACTATCTCCATCAGAACAACCTTCTGGATCCGCACCAGTCTGGTTTCAAGGCAGGTCACTCCACAGAAACTGCCCTCCTTGCTGTCACTGAGGAACTGCACACTGCTAAAGCAGCCTCCCTCTCCTCTGTCATCATCCTTTTGGACCTGTCTGCTGCATTTGACACAGTGAATCATCAGATCCTCCTTCGCACTCTCCAAGAACTTGGAGTTTCAGGCTCTGCACTTTCCCTCCTCACCTCATACCTCAAAGACCACACCTACAGGGTTACTTGGAGAGGGTCCGAGTCCGACCCTTGTCAATTAACTACAGGGGTCCCTCAGGGCTCTGTTCTTGGTCCCCTCCTCTTCTCCTTGTACACAAACTCGCTCGGATCAGTCATTAGCCCGCATGGTTTTTCATACCACTGCTACGCTGACGACACCCAATTAATTCTGTCCTTTCCCCGCTCAGAGACCCAGGTCGTCGCACGCATCTCTGCTTGTCTAGCTGACATCTCTCAGTGGATGTCTGCTCATCACCTCAACCTTGACAAGACTGCACTGCTTTTCCTTCAGGGAAAAGATTGTCCCACTCTTGACCTGACAATCAACATTGGCACCTCTGTTGTTTCCCCGACTCAGACTGCAAGGAATCTGGGTGTGATCCTAGATAACAAACTGTCCTTCACTGCAAACATCGCTGCTACAACCCGTTGCTGCAGATACACGCTTTACAACATCAGGAGGATACGTCCCCAGCTGACCCAGAAAGCCACGCAGGTTCTGGTCCAGGCTCTCGTCATCTCACGCCTGGGTGATTCTCACGAACTTGGTGTAACATGAGCCAAAACAGTTCGATGCAGATTTTGAAAATTATTTTTCTCATTAGTATCAACCAGGTTCTAAATGAACTAGCCCTAGTAAAATAAAAGTTCTGTATATGTTTTAAAACACATTTTTAGAGAGTTTTATCGAGTCATTGACCAAATAAATTCATTACCGTAACACATTTTCAATTGATGATAACTAAATATTTGAGTAAATGTTTGGCATTTTATTTTTTAACGTATGCTGCTGTCAATAGTCACAAGTAGTCACATAGTGTAATAATTCAGGTAAATATATAATAATATAGTAATTTTAGTTATTAACTTCATTACCGTAACACAATTTTATGCTCCACACATTGACTTTTACTGTGGTGTAAATTGTACAATTGATTAAAAAAAGACAATTTTAAAATATGAACAGACATACCAAACATTTCCTGTACAAAATAAAAATTTGAAGGTTTTCCATATTCCTATCAAAATATTAACTTATTAAGGAAGTGTTATGGTAATGAACAGAGCATGTCGGTAATGAAAAGCTTTTGTTATGGTAATGACCTTACATGGAGAAGAGATATACTATCGCTTTACGTATATATGCACACACACACAATTTTGAATTGCACCGTTACTTTTATATACTGTCTCTTTACACACACAATAGACAATAGTAACGTAACGTTTGTTACATGATACATAATGTACCTGTATAAAATCACCGCTGCCGGCAGGGACACCGCTCCTTGCATGGTCCTTGGAAAATGCGGCAGTGTTTTTCCACACTAAACTTTTCCAGGGCTCTGTAGAAGTCAAACTGTTCAATGGGTGGTCCTTCAATGCAGATTCAGTCGAGATTTTCTGCTTTTATTCTTACCCTGCCCTTGGTCTTTATGCGATTTTGAATGCTGAATCCACGTCCGCACGGCACCATGCTCATTGGAATGACCGAGATTGCAGCCAGGAGCTTTGTGGTTTCAGAAAGGAAGCCAGCATGTTGTGTAGCCATGATCTTCACCAACTCCTGGAAAGAATTTTTGCTGTAGTTTGCATGGACCAGCTCCTTAAAAGGTGACCACTCTGCGCTGCAGGTGTCCGTGTCAACGATAGGTTCCCGTCCCGCTCGGCAGAAGTGATCCAGGATGGTCTGCAGCTCATCGCGTCCAAATCGCGCAGGTTCAGTGTTGTTCCGTGGCAGACACCATGGGTCAAATATGCGAAAAGCGGAAAAGAGGCCGATGTCGGGGAAACGATCTTGAATATTCTGGATGAGGGTGTCGAGGAAGCGCTGCCTTACACCATCCACGGCCTGCCGCATCGCCCTGGTGGCCTTTATCTTTTCTCCCTTAAAATACATCTCGCCGTTTTTCTCCGCAATGTTGGCCAGGAATTCTTGGAATTTTGGGCCGCCTTCATCTCCAATCTGCATGGCTCACAGCGCATTGATCGTTGAGGTTTCAGCAGACTGAACGTCATCAGTGTCCAGGATGACGTGCATTTCTTTAAGCCGTGCTTGCAGAGAGCTGCTGTTGGAGAAGTATCCATAGATGCTGCCCACCGTCCTCTGGTAGCGCTGGAGGGATGGTATCGCCACAGCAGCCTGCTGGGCACACAAGTTTAGCTTATGTGCAGCGCAGTGTGTGCCACCGATGGCTGGGTTTTCCCTTTTTAAAACGCGCCACGAACCCATTTTCTCTTCCAGTCATAACCGCTGCCCCATCTGTACGGACGCCAGTTACGTCGTTCAGGTCAATGTTGTAATTTTGCAACTGCTCCTTAATGGTTTGCGTTACGGTAGCAGCGTCGCATGCAGTATCTTTGTGTTGCACAAGTAGTGGGTTTCTAAGTCACCGTCATTTATTAGGTTAACATATGTGCAAAGATGCTTTTCCACCGAAATGTCCGTGGACTCGTCAGTCATGAGCCCCTTGAATGTTGAGTTATTTAACTTTGCAATTAAATCCTCCTTCAGCACATTACGGCGCACTGCATGTCCTGCACTATGTCGTCGTGAGGGCGTTCTCTGAAACGCGCAGTTCTGCCAAGGTTTCACATCCCTGCAGAATGCACAGTTCATTCAAGCTTTTGTTTTTGTGTGTCAGCAACAGTTCTTTTGCCAGGTAATACACGTTCCTCTTGGCCGCAATTACCGCCTTTGATCTGGCACAGACCATTCGATTAACGGCAACTTGAACGTTGTTTCTTCGTAAATGCTGTGCATCTAGCACTGCTTTGTGATCCACCCCCTTTATGTGCATCTCTAAAGTCTTCACCCTGAAGTTGGACGTCCCCGCGGTGAACACGTTGTGCTTTATTTCCCTTACACATAGTGTGCAATACATTTTATGACTTTGTTTGTTATAGCACAACCACAGGAACTTCATTTTCCAGGTTCCGACAAACTTCCTTTTGTTGTGGCTGACCGGTTTCTCTTCGTGGCTTACGGGTATAGAAGTGACATTGTCAGATGGCGTAGGCTCTGGATGGGGTGGGAGGCTAGATGACAACAACTCCGGCCCCGGGGCACCTGCACGGGCGGGGGATGCTGGCGGAGACTAGGATGGCGGCAACTCAGACTCGGGCTGAGAGCCAACGGCAAGGCTCGCTGGCAGTACACTTTTTTCCGTCACAGGAACCGGCTTTGCTGGCGGCGAAAAAATCCCACCAGCCTCCTTTGCCCCTCCAACAGAGGGATGTCATTTTCCTTTTTGTCATTTAAACCAGGGGTTCCCAAAGTGTGGGAAGGTACGGTGGCCCTGAAGTGCAAGACACCACAGCATTTCACAAAACACGACAGCATTTCACAAAACACAACAGCATTTCACAAAACACAACAGCATTTCACAAAACACCGCAGCATTTCACAAAACACAACAGCATTTCACAAAACACAACAGCATTTCACAAAACACAACAGCATTTCACAAAACACCGCAGCATTTCACAAACACAACAGCATTCACAAACACAACAGCATTTCACAAAACACAACAGCATTTCACAAAACACAACAGCATTTCACAAAACACAACAGCATTTCACAAAACACAACAGCATTTCACAAAACACAACAGCATTTCACAAAACACAACAGCATTTCACAAAACACCGCAGCATTTCACAAAACACAACAGCATTTCACAAAACACAACAGCATTTCACAAAACACAACAGCATTTCACAAAACACAACAGCATTTCACAAAACACCGCAGCATTTCACAAACACAACAGCATTTCACAAAACACGACAGCATTTCACAAAACACGACAGCATTTCACAAAACACAACAGCATTTCACAAAACACAACAGCATTTCACAAAACACCGCAGCATTTCACAAACACGACAGCATTTCACAAAACACGACAGCATTTCACAAAACACGACAGCATTTCACAAAACACAACAGCATTTCACAAAACACAACAGCATTTCAGAAAACACCGCAGCATTTCACAAAACACAACAGCATTTCAGAAAACACCACAGCATTTCACATTGGACGGAAAGGGTATTCCTTTATGGAGAACACTTCTTGTTTGTGATTGGACAGAGCCAGCCAGAGAAGCACTGCTGTGATTGGTTGTTTTTGCTGCCAGTCAAGAGAAATGTTGCTTCGTCATTGGTCAGCGACCGAAAGTCTAGAATATTTGAAGGCACTTGGCGGTTTTACTCATAGACTGTATACTTTTTACTTTTTACTCTGCGTGTTTTCGCCCATTGCGCGCGCGACTTCTGACTCTGAAGTTATGTATTGTCCGCGTTGTGGGAAGACATTTCAGTCACTTCAACATTTTTGCAGTTCTTGTGGACAGTCATTGGCTGCATTAGAAGAAACTAAACATGAACCGGACTTCAGTGGCCCGATTCCAGGTAAAACATCAACTCAAACTGTGTAACAATGCTCTGTAAAACCTTTAAGCCTGTCTCGTGATTCATGTTTGAACCATAGACATAAGGTTTGAACTCATACTCGCATATAATGTGAATGCAAATAAATAACCCAGGCTAACTTCAGCTTGGTTATCATAACATTGTTTTTCTCTGTTTGTGTAACGTTAGCTGCTGCCCCAAAAATGCCATCCCTGAAAACTTTCCTCGAGTACAGAAGTAAGAAGTCAGACGAAAGGCTTAATTTCTCTTGCCAGAAGAGAAAAGTGAAGAAGAAAGAACAGACAAGTAAAGTACAGGTAGCCAATATGGGAGAGGAAGTGCTGGAAGATATGGTTTACTAGGCAAGAAAGATGGTACCTGTTTTAGGTGATAAAATAATTACTTTTACTGTGTTACAATTGGACAGCTCAGATTTATTAGTAAATCATGATTAAAGGGAAAAATGTGTGTCTGAAAATTACATCATGTATGTGGTTAACTCTAAAACGTCTTGGTCATGGTCAGCTAAGTTCAAAAAGATGCACTAGCAGGTTTGGTTTAAGAAGTTGTTGTATTTAGTCGTGTAAAATCTTCTTGGTTATCCGCATTTGTCAAACATCACCATGGTTGAGAATATATAAGTTATAAGCAGGCCTATGTGATGTATCCAAGTGATGGTAAAGCGTCTTCATCCTTTTTTTTTGTAACTGGACAACTTTCTAGAAATCGTTTAATTAAAAATAATGTATTACATCCGTTTCTGCTATGAATTGCATAAAAGGGAATAGCCATTTTAGCAGTGTTTTTGTTATTGGCATTTTATGTTTGTTTGTCGGTTTGCCAATCAGGGAAGAATAATGGTAGATTTGACTTGTACATACATACATACATACATACATACATACATGCATGCCTGTATGTATATTGTTGTATAGTGTTTTTCTCTAAGCATTTTCTGCTACACAGGGTCTGCACACTTATCTGAGATATTACAGCACATAATGACTTGTATAATAATAGTTACTATCCACTGTTAATTGTGTGATTTCATGTACCAAGTTTTTATTTATTTTTATTTAACCTTTATTTAACCAGATAAAAGCATTGAGATAGAATCTGATTTGCAAGTTGATTACACCTAATTTATTTTCATTGCACAGATAAATATTGGAATCATGTCTCTTCAAAAGAACATCATGAAACCTGTCAGAGGGAAAACTCTTCCACTGATTCTGGATCCTGACACTGACGCAGCTGGGTTGCATGGATTGGCAGTCAAGAAGATGACTGACTTTAATTCGGATATGGATGAGGGCCCCTATGTCCTCATTTACCCAGACACATCAGAAGTAATTAATATTCCTGGTACTTCAACGCCATTTAATCTGAGAGAGTATAAAATGGAAATAGGGAAGACCTACAACCGAATTGCTCTCTTTATATGTCTTGAATCTGATTATGACAAAGGTAAGTCCTTTTTTTCAGGCTATGCAGATTTAATTTCAGGTTGGTCAGCAATCAAAATGTCACTCACAAGCTGCTTTACCATAGGTGAACAACAAGATGCATCAGACTCTGATCGGGAAGTCTTCGTGAGACGCAACAGAGGGACTGAGGTTGACCTTGCTGACACACTGGTGTGTGTGTGTGTGTGTGTGTGTGTGTGTGTGTGTGTGTGTGTGTGTGTGTGTGTGTGTGTGTGTGTGTGTGTGTGTGTGTGTGAAAACCAGATGTAATGTATGTGGTTATTAAGCTGTCTTTCTTTATGTATTTTCTGTCTTACTGCCTTACTTCCAACGTGACTCTTGTGTGCACTTTGTCTTCAAAAAAAGGCGCATCATTTCCAAATGAATTCAGATACTTCATAAGAGTTTGTAGAAAGTTTGGACACACACAAGCAGATCAACTTTTTATGTCAATTTCCCAACCAAAAGGTGCATAATTTTTTCAAGTGGATTCACATAAAATGGCTAAAAAAAAGTCTGGCGACACATGCAGCATTTACAGATCAAGTAAGGTCACTGGGGCTGCACAATGAATACTTTTTTTACTGTATTTTTCAGCCCTGGGAACCTGAGCATGAAAGTACTCCAAAAAGCACTGCAGAGAAAACAAGGTAAAAGGTTCATTCTTGGCACTGTGTATTATAAACCTTTGGAGAAATGCAGTGGTGACTTACTCTTTAAAGGGTTTTGACTGCATTTGTTGGACCCGTTATCAGAGTTAATCTCTTTGACTACATGATGTGAATATCTCTTATTTCGTGTGCAACCAAACGTTTAATTTTTGTATTGTAAGTATGCTAATACAGCTGCATTTCAGGTGTTACCTGCATCACTATACATACATATAAATAATTGATATATATATATATACACAACAAATATATTAAAAAAAAGACAGTTACATGACATGTTAATGTAATAAAATAACAATCAACAAAAGGGGGAAAATGAAAGAAAAATAGCAAAAAGAAAATAACCATGTGAACCAAGGTTATTGATTTCATTAAGGTTAATGTTCTATATATTTAGAAAATGTTGTTATTATTGTTATTATTCCTCCTTGGCCACAATCTACTATCCTAAGATTCCTAATACAATTTTAGGAAATTATATCCCAAAAAACACAATGTATGGAATTTGTCTGCACCACAAGCCAATTATAAATGTAGTACTTAAATCGAAATGCATTAATTGGACTGGATTAAAAAAACGTGTTAATGTCAGTCATGGCAAATACTCGTACATTAATTCTGTATTTCTTTGTTTCTTTTCTTTGTTCTCTCTGTCCTCCTCCCTCACTTTCTTCCATCCTTCTTTCCTTCAAACGGCTCTTCCAGGGCATCATATCAGAGTGAAAAGGAAGAGGTAGGGTATTTGTGCTGTTTCCTTCCTTATAATCCATGTAAAACATTTAAGTTAAAAGAAATAAACATTTAAAAAATTCCTTTTTGGTAAAACTATTACATTAGACATTTAATGTATTATTGCGTTTTTAAACTATGTAATATTGTGATTTGTTCACATGTATGCTAAAATGTTAATCTCAAATCAGATACTCATTTCGGACACTGATGACCCCAATGAGGGCACTTCTCAAAGTTGGAGGAACACTGCTACAAGGTATTGACTTGAGCCACTGATCTGTATTCATATTATTACACAAGACAGAGACCCTACACTAATGATTCATGATTAGTGTTCCAGATACCCCTTCCAACATGACTGCTGTGAGGTCCACTGTCAACCCATTGTACAGGTAATGTTTAGTTTAACCTTGGTTGCTACATTGCAAGGTTGCAACGTTCACCATGCAAGATTCAAGGTGTAGAATAAAGTGTTGTGCACCATTGTTTTCATAACATTTGTTTTTTTGCAGCACATACACACAGTTGTATGCTCCCATTGCAATTGATGAAGATGAGGACGGGAGTCAAGATTTCAATGTTGTGCCCATAAGCGCTGACCCTGCAAAGGAAGCTGTGTAAGTTGTAATTGTATTGGCTCTAATCTTTGAATGGAAAACTTGTGTGGTATTGGAGGTCAAGGTAACATTAGAAGAAACATTTCAATCACATTTGATGTAACATACAAAAAACAGTGTTATAGTATTTAAAGTCCCTTTTCCAGAGTCTGTACTAGAACATTATTTGATATGCTTAATTGTATTCTGTTATCTATTTATGTCGTTTAAGGGACACAAGTATATCTGCAGCCCATATTATTGAAAACTTAGCAGATGCCATAGACCACAACACTGTCAGCAGATTCAACATAACTCGCACAAATGTTTGGGATGGAGCTGTCAGAGGGTTCAGACGTTCAACCTTCTGTGAAAAGTCTGACTTGCTTGTGAGGTTCACGGATGATGCAGGCTCTGTGGAAGAAGGAATAGACGCAGGTGGACCAAGGCGAGAATTTCTGACACTCCTCATGAGCTTTTTGCAGTCTCGGCCTATTTTTGAGGGACCTCCACAGAGTCGGTACTTGGTGTACAATGCTGCAGGTTTGTTGTCAGACCAGCCCTTGCATAGTTGGATTTAATCATAATTATTCTCCATAGATCATGTGACAGAGCTCAAGTATGGTAATAGTTACTATGTCAACGGGAGGAATAATATACTGAAGTATTATTTATTTTAGCAGTTTTAATGTAACTTTGTGAATACGTGGGTAGATAAAGGTCCCCTGTGGAGTTTTTAGCTCTAGTAGGGTTATGTGGCAGTTATTTTATGACTGGGCCCCTGTTCTGTCCCACATCAACATGGGAACGCTGCAAGACACATATTTCAATGATCTACCAGTATCAGAAATGCACCAGCATAGACATGAAAGAGACTGTGAGTCTGTACAAATTGATGTAAACATTGTTTAGCTTTGTACATTTTTTTATATGCTACATTCAATTCTGATTATTTGTGAGTTTAAAAGTAACACTTAAATGCCAATACGCGTTTGATATATAGTAGGTATCACAGACTACCTTTAATGTAAACATTCATTTTGTTTATTACAAGAAAACTCCACAGGGAACATTTTTACATGTGCTTTACAGACAGGGAAAGTAGCTATCAATTTGTAAAATCGTTATCTATGAGAAAGAATGAGTTCAACTATAATTTGCTTGTAAAGCTGCAAATATTATGAAGCTACATTTTTCCGTAACATCTCATGAAGACAACTCTAAATATAGTTAGTTAAATACGTTCTGATTATTAAAGGTACATAATTTGTTTTGGCAATATGATGTACTGTACTGTAATTACATTTAGTTTCCACCATCTGTATCCCCCCCCAGCAATCAGGGAGGATGAATATTTCATGGCAGGGAAGATGATAGCCGTGTCCATTGTTCATGGAGGACCAGGCCCACATTTTCTTTCAAGGGACCTGGTGAACCACATAGCTGGACAGCCTGGTTTCTGTGCACATGTGACGGATGTGACAGATGATGAGATAGGGAGAGCTCTCAGTGAGGTATTGCAATAAACTACACCAGTCAGTCATAAATTGGTTATTTTTTTTAAATGCTAAGAAGCACAGTACTTTTGTTTAAGTGTACAGAAAAGCCCCTTATTCAAAAGACTGTGCAGAACATCTGAAATGCTCAAAAACAAATTTAGAGTATTCCTTTTTTTAAACATTGACAGTCGTTCAACTACTTTTGACATGTTTTTTTTTCTTTTGTCCAATATCTATTATAATAATTTGCCGTTATGTGAATATCTTTGATGGTGTGTGTTTTCCATTTAGATTGAGTTGGCACATTCTCTGAAGTCTCTGCAAGATGTGTTACTGAAACACAGCTCCATGCTTCAGACTGCTGGCTGCTTCAGGCATGTCAGCTCCGTTGAAGAAAAACACACTGTGGTGGCAGAATACCTTACCTGGTACACCATCGGCAGGAATCACAGTGTAATTGAAAGGTAATGATAGGTGCTTTTAATTAAAGGAATTTAATGTTGATTGAGGCCATATTAAAACATCCTTATTACCGCTGATGCTACTTTTACTATACTTACTTATAATATTAAGTATTGGTCAAGTTCAGACAATGATTTGAAAATTGTTGCCGTCTAAACGTTATGAAAATAAATGTTTCATAGTAATATACAGTATCATGTTATTGTTTTCACAGTATTTAAATACTACTTAGAGATGTATAACCCTTAAAATTGCATATGTTTTACTGCCTGTAACAATTCACTGTATTCTTGAACAGATTCAAAGATGGACTGGCTAGCCTAAACTTTTTGGATGCCCTTTGCCAACATCCGAGTGTACTGGCTCCAGTGCTGTGTCATACGGACAAGAGGCTGACTTCAGTTGAAGTGGAACGACTCTTCTTACCACAGCTCAGTCCAGCAGGGAGCAACAGGAGGACTACAGAAACCGTGGCACTCAGCTTCTGGGCAGACTATCTGATGGACTGTGAAGGTTTGTACAGTAAAATACTGTTCGGATCAGAATAGGATCTGCTGTTATTATATGAATGTTAATGTGTTTAATGACAGCTCTTTGTTTCACAGAACAAGGACCAGTGTCACTGGAGGAGTTATTCATGTTCATCACCGGCCTGAAGACAGAACCCCCTGCAGGAATGACACCCCATCCATGTGTCACGTTTTCACAGGAGACTATCTATCCCATGGCAAACACCTGTGCAAACACCATAACACTTCCACTACTAGGAACGTACGCTAGTTTCAAAGCCAATATGGACTTTGGCATCCAAAACTCCCCAGCTTTTGGATGTCTGTGAAATGGTAAAAGAAAAGGGGTAGAACACCATCACTGCAATATAGCTTTTTGGAGTTTTATAAACGTGTAGAGTTCCTCATGTTTGAGGAAAAATATGTTTCATACAGCGGTTTCAGAGTTTTCTTTAGACGTCTAAAAAGACAACGTTATTAGTAGTGCTAATATATGTTTAAGGAAAACAATACTGTTTTGCAGCGTTTTCACAAGAATAAACGTTTATTTTCTTAAATGCAAATAAATCACTGTTTCCCAAATCCTCAAATGTCTTGTGCCAACTCTGTTAAGGCTCACGGCTGCCCAACTGAAGGTACTGTCCCATTCACAGCCCAGCTATTCCCTTCAGTGTAATCAACAGCTGGGATGCTGCTTGCCAGGTATCTGGATGTTGAAGTCCATATTGTTGCATTGCCTGCTGAAAATAGTCATTGATGTCCGGATCACCACATGGATCTTCTGTCTGATGCCCGTCTTGAAAAATGTGGGTTGATGCTTCATCCAGAGCAAAGCCACAGTCCCGTGACCCAAACCTATAAAGCAGTTATTATAATGATGCTTGAGGAGAGATGCTTGGCAGCAAAGTATGAGAATACTTTATCACAACGACACACTTATGTTATGTAAACTAAATACTCTGAAATGTTAGTTTTTGAAACTATGTCATGATGTGTTTTGTGGCCATCTTGGTTATTATTAGTGTGGTGTAAGCCTCTATGGGTGTAAGCTCATATTTCCCATTTTATTTGTTTATGGTGTGGCAGAAATACACTTATGTAATACAATACTGTTCATGAAATGTGTATTAACTACAAAATATAAACAATTTACCTGTGAGGTAGTGAATACAGCTCATTAGGAATTCCACCCGGACAAGAGGCAAGTCTGGAGGGCCGGATTCTGTGCCTGTTCCAAAGGTGAACACATTCAACCAGGTCTGCCTGAAGAACTGTCATGAAACAGAACCTTAGAAGGCACTGGTGCTCATGGGTGCCATTGAAGTGTCCGTGGTCTCTTAGATCAGCAAATAGACCCATCCAGAACTGAGTCCTTGGGATAAACAGGATGTTTTGTTATACACAAATGACCCTATACACAAATATGATGTGGACTACTTATACTTTACTCATAATTTATTCACATTTGCCTCTTTACACTTACACCTAACAAAATGTATACATTTAGCTTATTATAGACAAAGGTCTACTTAGCCTATGTAACTTTGTAATTGTTCTTTAAAACAGGCCTAAATAATGTATTTTTACAGTCGGGCATCGAGCTGGGAAAACAATATTATTTGATACAGTATCCACAACGATACTAACTCTGGCATTGGGCAGCACGAAACAACTCATGTCCATTCTTACTTAAGTGTATTGGTGCCATACTAGACAAAGTAAGACATACCTTTGTTTTCTGAATATTGACCACCAGGACTCGATCCGCTGGTTGCTCATAGAAGACCCAAACATGTGGCTTTTGTCACCAGCGTAGTAATCACTGTGGTCGTGACGAAGAGTGCACTGGGCAGAGGCCATTAACCCATTCTCTGTTCCACAGTCTGTGCGCAGTCTCATGGGAATAACGCCAACATTTCTGATACAGTCAATAAAGTAGTTTTTTATCACTTCTGGGTTCTTGTTTGTTGGTCCACATTTGAGCCACATGATTTTGCGGGAGAACCCGTCTATACAGCCAGATATCCCAATGCCAAACGGTTTCAATTTGTCATATCCATCTACGTGCCACACATAATTTGGACCCATAGAGTGGTACGTGCGTCTGACAAACCTACGGCGTGTCCGCGACAATGTTCCGAGTGGGTTCAGTTCACGAAGCATTCTCATTACCGTCTCCCTTTTAACATGGAGTCCATGTTTCTGCTTTAATGTCAGCCACATAGTTCGATAGCCAAACATTTGTCCAGGTCCCCGCAGCTCTGAGAAGATGGCCCTCCTGACTTCACTTATAGACGAGTAGTCACCCCGTCTCCTCAGTCCTAACTCTTTCAACCGCGCTTTCAGGTTTCTAAGGGACATGTTGATGTCGTGATGGGTTGAAAGCATGTCGAGGATAACATCGTATGTATATCCTTCGTTAAAATATTCCCTTAAGATTTCCATCTCTTCTTCCATTCTTTCCAACTCAGTTTAAAATTTGTGAATAAACAGTTTAACAGTATCAAACAGGAAATACTGGTGCTGTCGGCCGGGTGCTGACCAATCACGAAGCGTAATTTCTTGACTGGCAGCAAAAACAACCAATCACAGCAGTGCTTCTCTGGCTGGCTCTGTCCAATCACAAACAAGAAGTGTTCTCCATAAAGGAATACCCTTTCCGTCCAATGTGAAATGCTGTGGTGTTTTCTGAAATGCTGTTGTGTTTTGTGAAATGCTGCGGTGTTTCTGAAATGCTGTTGTGTTTTGTGAAATGCTGTTGTGTTTTGTGAAATGCTGTTGTGTTTGTGAAATGCTGTTATGTTTTCTGAAATGCTGCGGTGTTTTGTGAAATGCTGTTGTGTTTTCTGAAATGCTGCGGTGTTTTGTGAAATGCTGTTGTGTTTTGTGAAATGCTGTCGTGTTTTGTGAAATGCTGTCGTGTTTTGTGAAATGCTGTTGTGTTTCTGAAATGCTGCGGTGTTTTGTGAAATGCTGTTGTGTTTTGTGAAATGCTGTTGTGTTTTGTGAAATGCTGTTGTGTTTTGTGAAATGCTGTTGTGTTTTGTGAAATGCTGTCGTGTTTGTGAAATGCTGTTGTGTTTTGTGAAATGCTGTTGTGTTTTGTGAAATGCTGTCGTGTTTTGTGAAATGCTGTGGTGTCTTGCACTTCAGGGCCACCGTAGGAAGGTGAGCCTCCCCTCAGAGAACATAGTCACAGCCGCGCCCCCCCTCCCAATTATTATTGCTATTATTATTATTGTTGTTGTTGCTATAATGCAGGGGTATTCAATTGCATTTCAAAGAGAAAATGTAAGGTGAGAAAATGTCATAAAATGCTCTGTTTTCGCTACCTTCCTATTTTTTGATTGGTTGAGCGTCACCTCCTTAAAACATTAAACAATAGCTTTTTTAAACCTCTTTATCTTTATGTTTTAAACAAGTTGAGGTTAAGTATGGCAGCTTCCTCATACGTTGCACTCGGAGAGAAATAGTTGAGACGGAGATGTCTTTAGCAGCAGGGAGGAGTAACGTTTCACCAATGTTGTGAGGTTTACCTGCCTTAGCTATCCGTAATGCCACTCGGTATGATGCTTCTGTTGCCTTTGTATTCACAGTGCTAAATGTGTCAATGACATTTTTCTGTGACTGCAATTCCTTGAGCTTCCGGTCAAAAAACTCCTGTGGCTTGGTTACCAAACATGGGTGTTTCGTCTCAATATGATGCCGGAATTTACATGGTCTCATACTGTCATTAGCTAGCACCTCGTTGCAGATAACACACTGTGGCAGTGGAGTGTCATCAGGACCGGTCCATGAAAATCCTAGCTTCAAATAATCATTGTCATACTTCCTCCGTTTTCTGACAGACGCTGTCTCCTCTCTCACTTTAGGTAATCTATCCATATTTTGCCGCTCGCATAAAGTTAGCTGAAGTTAACTAGCTAGATTTCACTGTTTCTCTTTATTTTTTTCTGGCAGCTGCGCCTCCGTTGAAGCTCTCTGGTGCCCCCCAGGGTAGGCGCGCCTCACACTTTGGGAACCCCTGATTTAACAGGTTAAACTTCTTAACTTCTCTTGTGCAGTTTTTCTGTTCTTTACTGGGCACAGTTTCGCCATCATGAATCCAAAGTTCTGTGCTTTCCACAAATATATAAATATGAATATTAAAAGTACCAGGTGGAGGGATTATATCTCTTCGCTGGCCTGGGAGCGCCTTGGGATCCCCCAGTCAGAGCTGGTTGATGTGGCCAGGGAAAATAAAGTTTACCCTCGCGACCCGACCACGGATAAGCGGGAGAAGATGAATGGATGAATATTAAAAGTATTCCATGGTGTTCCATGGTGTTTTTTTGATGGAGAAAACTAATGTTTGTTATCCAAAGTTGACGTTAAATGTACCAGACTTCTTTCTGTTGATTGATATGACCCTACATAGTCTCTTGATACAGCAACGGTCTGCTCTCCTTAGCAGCGGTCTGTTAGCCATAATTAACACCCTCTGAAATGTCAGAATTGAGTATTCAACTAAGCCAAGTAATAAACAAAGTGTATGTATATTAGGATTACATATTTAGAGGCTAACAGGGACAGATCTCCGCCATGATTCGCACAAATCAAAATGGATTAGTCAGGAAATGAGCCTTTGCTTTGACTTACGTTACATTAGATTGCATTTAGCTGACGCTTTTATCCAAAGCGACTTACAATAAGTGCGTTCGTCCAACAAAATACAACTTGAAGAAAACAGAATCATATAAGTACATCAGGTTTCATAGAGCAAAAACATTTCAAGTGCTACTCAACTGGCTTTAGAAAAGCCAGTCCTTTATTAGTATAAAGGTGCTTCGTTAATAGTTCTATCGCTCGAAGTGGAGTCGAAAGAGATGAGTTTTCAGTTTGCGCCGGAAGATGTGCAAGCTATCTGCCGTCCTGATGTCAATGGGGAGCTCATTCCACCATTTTGGAGCCAGGATAGCAAACCCACGTGTTTTTGCTGATGGGAACTTGGGTCCCCCTCGCAGCGAGGGTGCAGCAAGCTGTTTGGCTGATGCAGAGCGGAGTGCACGTGCTGGGGTGTACGGTTTAATCATGTCCTGGATGTAGGAAGGGCCAGATCCACATTCAATTGTGCCTCTTCCATGAGTTACATCAACTTTAGCCTGAACATACTTGACGAGATAATAGGCTGTTAGCAGTATGTCAAAAGTGAGAAGACGAAAATAATGTTAACTCTGCTAACCTTAAATTAAATGAGGCATGTTGTGACAGAAGCTGGCAGAGTCGGCATTAAATATGTATGTACAGTATGTCTCTGCGGTGCCTTTGACAGCACTGCATAACTTTCATCAATGCATGCTTTTACAGTGTTTGTGAGGCTTGCATCATCAAATATGCATTCCATAGATATAAAGTTCACTTTTACATCAGTCGGTAATCCCAATCTATGGTCTGTAAAGAGATGTATTTCCATATCCGGCTAAGTGAATGTATGAATCCATGATGTGATGCTCACATGACAGCTGTCAGTTCTCAGCCCTGTAGCCTATGTGCAGACGCATGGACAGCCCTGTCTTTGATGTGGAGACACTTTGATGGACTTGTTGAACCGACAGACGGATGGGAGGGGGGGACAAGGTGAGGCAGGCTGCGTTTGTAATTTAAAAACTGAATTTCCAAGAAGACTGTCACATGAGAACGGAGGAGGCCAATGTCATGGCAGGTTACTGACAATATAATGTTAGGTTTTTCCTAGTTAACACATGGACAATAACAACATACTTGAAAGGGGATTACAAAAAAGGTAACTGTATACTCCGATATCCAATTACTGTTAAATTCCTGAAAATTGGGGATTACTAGCAGGATTACAATGTTACTAAAAAAAATAAAAAAAGAGCATATAGTGTTTATTGTAAAATGATCAGATGTTATCTCTTCTCTGTAAGCTGTACTGTAGGCTAATACTTTAAAGGTCAACTATAATGCAAAATGCACTTTTTTATGTCTTTTATATGTGCCCCCGGTGTGTAAGGAGACTCACAAAGTGTCTGAAAATACAACCCTGTCTCTTTTTCTCTTTACCCACAAACCGGGGGTACAACGGATCTGATCCAGATTTGCTGCGGTCATGACGACATTATTAAAATATGGGCTGGCTTTACGTTGAACTCCTATCAGAAACGTTGCTATCAGAAACAATGCACAACGTGTTTTGGAAGTAATATAGTCTGTGTTTATATTAGCAAGCATCGCTAACACTCAGAGCTAATGCTGTGTTTAAAAACAACAGATATAAAAAAGGTACTCACCTTGTGGGAAACCCGCAAGAGAAAAAGCTCCATACTCTTTCAGAAATGATCCTTGATATGGTTTGGAACATTATATGCCGTTTAGTCACGGCAGCGTTTAGCTGAGTTTCTACTGATAGACACTCTTCTCTTCACAGAGCTCACCGCTTGCATGTGGACGCTCCAAAGGGGCGTGGCCAGCAGCAGCTCGGGTTACATTTAAAGCTACGGACCCAGAAACAGCACTACACTAACTTGGCTGAAATTGAGGGGTATGAGTCATGGCTAAAATGCATGATCGGTTTGGTATTTTGAGCAAAACACTTCATACACATGTTTTTTATATATCTGAGGCCCATAATATATGCCTAAAAATTGTATAATAGGAGACCTTTAAGTGTGAGTCTATACGCCTACTGCTTGAATCTACTTAATTGTTTTCACTTTCTTCGGTTCATTCTTTCTTTTTTCTAATTCAGTAGGTGAACCTATACAAAGCGAGGCTGTGATTCAGTGGCTTAGTGCGGAGATCTTCGGATCAGAGCAGTAGTTCAATCCCCTGTTATGATTGGGTGAAGCAGGTAGGACTCAAATGCAGAATTTAACGAAAAGCGAGCTTTATTAAATAATGAAAGCTGTGGCAAAAAAAGGCAGTATCCAAAACAAACGAGCAGCACAAGGAACACAGACCGTGGAATAACATGGAGGGGAAACAATGAACCGACATGGAACACAGGGGAAGGCTGTGTGGGCCGGCACTGGAGCATGGAACCATGGCTGCTGGGGCCGGAACCATGGCTGCTGGGCCGAGCACTGGAGGCGGAGCTCTGGAGTACGGGCTGGAATCCTGGCCTTGCATCTTCCAGAGACCTTTTGGAGGCTCTGTGGACCTCCAAACGCCAGACGGGTTCCTGAGAAAAGGTCTGAGGCTGGAACTGGAACCGGAACAGAGGCCTGGACCATGGCTGTGTGGGCCAGGTAATCGAGCAAGGAAACATAGCTCTGCGGGCCGGTACTGGTGCATGGATCCATGGCTGTGGAAACCGGAACTGAAGCTGGGATCATGGCTGTTGGAGCACGGGCTGGAATCCTGGGCCTGCGTCTCCTAGAGGCTTTTTGGAGACTCCGTGAACCTCCGACAGGACAGTAGTCGGATCCCAGGAAAGGGTTAGAAGATTGTGACAAGTCTTCAGGGCTACTTGTAAAAGTTTGTAGCCACTCAGGCAACAAGCTCCTGAGCCAGGGCTTGCAAGCAACCTCCCGGCGTGCCTCCTTCAAAGCAGCCTCTTTACCCCGTCTAGATGAGGCGTTCTTCCAGGTGTAAAAAATGTACTCCAGAGAGTACCCAAGACATTCCGCCTGTGGGGCCAAAACATTAAAATCTGCTGATTCCAAATTTGGTCGGTTCATTCTGTTACGATTGGGTGAAACAGGTAGGACTCAAATGCAGAATTTAACGAAAAGCGAGCTTTATTAAATAATAAAAGCTGTGGCAAAAAAAGGCAGTATCCAAAATATCCAAAACAAACGAGCAGCATAAGGAACACAGACCGTGGAATAACATGGAGGGGAAACAATGAACCGACATGGAACACAGGGGAAGACTAGACTAAATACACAGAAGGGTAATCACAGGACAAGACCCAGCTGGGCAGGGGAGGGAGAAACACAAGGGCAACAGGTGAACACAATGAGACAATCAGACACACCAGGGAAACTAACGACAGGGAGGAGGACCAGACAAAACACAAGGGCCGTGTCTCAATTCAGGGGCTGCACCCTTCGGAGTACGCAGCCTACGCGGTCCACGGAGGACCCGGCCCACGTAGACCGGGTAGGCTGGACCGAGCGGCCTACAAAATTAGACGGTCTAGCCTACGGAGAGCTTCGTATTTACGTCACGTGATACGCGCTGTTCGTTTGCGCTGCTCCAGCAGCCTGCTAGCAAATTAGCTTACAAGCTAACTCAGCTGAAAAGGATCCAGAATCTTTACTTTTACATTTTACATTTTTTGGAGATCACCGTCGGCGATGAATTAAAGAGGACCATGCCCAGGTAAATAAGATGAAGCTATTCCTTTAGCCCCCAGTAATGTTACATTAGCAAGTTAACAAGTAAATTATATATAGCTGATGTAATTTAATCATATTATTTCATATTTAAAATAAGTCTTAATTTGTCTGTACTAATAAAACAATGTTTTTTTAAATGAACAAAAGCATGTTGTGTAGATTGATTGTTAACAATATTAGTGTTCTAATCTTAATAGCTGTGGTTATAACAGTTTATATTCTCCTTCTTCCCCTAAACCTGCCCAGATGATGTCCCACTGACACCAGGTCAGCACCTCCAGGTCCAGCAGCACCGTGCCCCCCCCCCCCCCCCCCTCTGCTGAAATACACAATTAAACATTTCTATGACCTATTTCTTGTATTAATAAAATTAAACTGAAGACAGTTTAATGACCTAGAGATACCCTATTATTCCACTGCTTATGTTATTTACATGTTGTAAATAATGGTTAAAACCTCAGTAAATGAAATAAACAATATGTTTAACAATTACAATGTAATATTGTATTTTCATCTTATCACAAAGTACAGGTAAGAATATATCCATTCTCTCTCTGCAGCTTCATGTCTTCTATTATTATAACTTTCATCATTGAGACCGAGGAAATCAATCATGTTATTTAACATCACCGGCAGTAAAACAAATATCAGCAAAAGTGTGTTTATCAAGTTGTTTATTTGTATTATATGTGCAACAAGTATATAGAAGCAGCTGTTTGGGGAATCAGACAGACTCAAGCTATAATCGTTAGGACACATACAAAATCAAATTCTGAAAGTAAGACACAAGTCTGTAGGACGGCAGTAAGCAGAGGTCTGGGTGGAGGATGTTCCTGATCGCCGTTTTGCTTTCTTCAGCACCAAGCATAGGTGGCGCGTGAGGCTCAGGTTTGGGAAGGCTAAACTACTAAATTAAATTGTTTCGTTTATTAACGCTACAACATAGCGTATTGTGAGGCGGTTGTCGTTGTTACAAGTACAACGTTACAATGTGGGGCCATTGATAATGAAAATAGATTTTTACCCTTAATGTCTACCCCTGCCCGGTGCCGTATAAGCTTTTTATTTGTATTGTTTATCAGTAGAGGTTGCTGCTTTATTCCTTGTATCTGTCCATGTATTTATTTATTTTTAACATTAACTTTTTTAAACAATAAACAGTGTCAATATCAATACTTGGCAGCTTATAACATTGTCCTACCTTAATGGAGCAATATGCAACGCTTCGCCGTGGCATCATAGGCGTCAATAATGTCCTCTGCTTTGATTTTCTCTGTGAGGTTGCTCTCAATGTGAAGCAGGCTCAGTGTTGTCAACCTCTCCTGATGCATCGTTGTTCTGAGCCAGTTTCGGATACGCTGCATTGTTGAGAACGATCTCTCACATGTTGCAGTGCCAACGGGTAACGAGAGAGCCAGGCAAAACAGCTTTATGAAGTTAGGATAATGTCCAGTGGCAAGTTCCTTTTTTATATTTTCAACCGATACGCTTGGGAGTTTTGTTGTCACCATTGTCATCTCAGTCAGTGCAAGTTTTGGGTTGATGGAGAGGAGGCTTGCGTATTGGCTGAGAAGGCTCTCTGCTCCTCTGAAGTCACATTTAAACACTGCATCCACACTTTCTGCAATGGCCATTGACTGCGGTGAAAACCGTGTTGAACACTCACCTAGAAGTGTATCCAGCACAGGATAGTAGAGCTGAATTGCCCATTTATTTTTCAAGCTGTTTTTGTCTGTGCTTGTTTGGTACTCTCTTTGGCCAAGGGTGCTGGTGACAAATGCACAGTCGAGAGCAGACGGTTGTTTGACAGGCCTCTTGCACGGTCTCTCGTCATTCTCTTCAATGCATACGCCAACTGACTGACAGAATGCTTGGATTTCAATCCAGATGTCCTCACACTTTTGACTTGTTGCCCTCATGTTTTCAAAGCATTTCATCATGGACTCAATGACACTTGCAGCCTTAGACAGGATTGTCTCTTTCCCTTGAAGTGCCTTGTGTGTGACATGCACCTTGCTGAGTAACTGATGGAAAATAATCAGACTCACGCAGAAATCTGCACTTCTCACAGCATTTAACAGACCAGACGCCTCAACAAATCTGCGATACGGTGGCACCGACAGTTCGGACAAGGTGGAGATCAGGGCCTCCATAGAGTCTTTTACAGCAGACACGTTTTTCCACCTACAAGCCCACCTTGTGTCGCTCAGTGCTGTAAGCTCCGCTTTAACACCCAGCTCATTTTGACGCTGTTTGTATGCATGATGAGTTCCTGGTTGGGCGAAGAAGGTGTACAGACTCTCAAGGGTGAGAAAAAACCCCATTGCTGTGTGATTAGACTTACACGCATCCACCAAAACAAGGTTCAATTTGTGGGCCATGCAATGGATGTAAATAGCCGACGGGTGATCCTGGCGTAGTTTTGTTTGAACACCATTAACATGGCGGCTTCCCCATCGTAACCCTGTGCCACAATTGGTAAACGGTACAGTCCGCATTGCTCCAGAAACTGCTTGATTTGGCAGAATAGTGCCTCTGCGTCTGCCCCTTCTGAACAATCCACAAATCCAAGGAATCGCTCTTTGATTTCCAGTCCCTCTGCTTATCTGACGCACACTGTCATTTGCTCCTGCTTAAATGAACGTGCCTCATCCACAAGAATAGTGTAAAATCCGTTATCCTCAATGCTACGAATGATGATGTTTTGTACTTGTTTCGCTGCTATTTCCAACAGTTCATTTTGAGTGTCATGGCTTGTAAGGTTGAATGGGCCATTTAACCTGGAACTGAAAACAGTGTTGCGCTTTGAGAACCATTTGCATAGCTCCAAAAAGTGTCCTCGATTCGAAGAGCTCTCCCGTTCATCATGCCCTCGTAGAGGAAGCCCCTGTTTGCCTAGATAAAGCACCATATCCACAATATCGGCTGCATATTCCCTGTTACACTTAACAATTGCTCTGTGAGAGCCACTCAACTGGGCAGCGACAGAACCAGTGGTTTTAGATGCTACATAGCCTTGCCACAGCTCCATGCACTGCCGATGTGATCCACATTCCGCAAGTCGTTGTAATTTTAGCAAGACATTCTTCCAATCCCGTACACTGTTAGTTAAAAAGGCAGAATCTCTGTAGCCGCTGCTGCACTGGAATTGCCTGCATGGAAAACAGAACATAGCGTCTGCCTCTTTGCAGTATTCTACAAAAGTGTAGGTCTTGTAGTACTCAGATGAAAACGATCTTCTCTGTTTCCTGAAAACCATTTTTGGGTAGTCCGGCAGGATGGGCTGAGATGGGCCGCTTTCTCTGTCTCCCAAGTCAGTAGCGGCGGCAGTAGGACTAACGTAGGTCAGACTCAGAGGCAGAGTACTGACTGGCTGGGCTGCTCCCATCTCTCCCGGCTTGCCTCCCGCAGCGCCCGGCTTGCCTCCTGCCGCTACCGGCTCGGCTCCCGGCTCGCGTCCCGCTGCTCCCGGCTCGATTCCCGGCTTGCCCCAGGCACTGCCCGGCTTCGTTGTAACCTTATCTTTCCAGGTGTTCGTCGTGGCATCGGGATTAGTTGTAATGTTTGCCTTGAAAAAAGTCTGTATATCCATTTTCGACCGCCAATGTACACTATACTATACAGTAGCTAATTTTGCATTTGAAATTAGCGGGCTTCACGGTCGGATCGTGATGTGATTGGCCACAGAGGGGTTGGCCAATCACATCACGATCCGACAGCGAAGCCCACTTGACACAAAGATACCTGCGCGTGCAACTGCACGCCGTCCGGTGGCTGCATAGCAGCGCTAATGTCAAAGAATCAAAGACATACATTATATTAAAATTTTACCAGGATGCAGTGACAAAAATATTTGGGAAGGCTTAGCCTTCCCTAGCCTACAGTACCCGCCACCCCTGGCACCAAGGGGTGTCCAGCTGGATGGCAGCTCTGTCCTGATGATCCGCTGGGGTTAGGAGTCCTTCTCCAGCAGATCAATTTCTCCAGAATTGTCCTAATTACAGAGAAAAACAAGAGAAAAATTAAAAAAAGTGAATTAATCATATAAAACAGTGTTGCAGAAGTATTATTGCAAAATGTAACTCAGCATTTCAGACAAACAATCCCTAGAGGATCATTTAAAATTATGTACTGTTCTGGTTTTTAAAATACTAAAGAGATGAAATGACAGTCACACCCTTTGACAGCACAAACTAACATTAAGCTAAAGGATGCTGTCTATTTTTGATTGTCTTATTATTATGGGATTAGGATAAATTAAATACACTTTAACCTAAATAAAAGATGATCAAATCTGGTGGAAATATTTTTTTGCCGTACCTCAAAGCAGCATGAGCTGAATAAAAAGGTTGTAATGTTGTCCCAAAGTTTAATAAACAGTAAAATATTGGAACTTGTCAGAAAATAAATAAAGCTAACAGCAGCTACACGTCAGGGTAGCGCTTTATAAATCCCACCGCACTGTATACCGGTCTAAATGTTTTCACTTTGGTCTATTTATGTAATATAAAGTATAACTTATCTATAACAGAGCCAAGATCTCTGTATGACTTTAATAAACTTCTGAATTGAATTAAAAATAAGTGTAAACAACAGTGCAGTACGTCCAGCTAGCTAGTTAGCGTCACATATTTATCCGTATTATTTAACGAAAATGTACGTTTTAATGCCCCTTGGGTTTGACGTGTGTGACGTTAGTTAATTTAAAGTAAGTTAAAACCCAATACTCACATTTATTAGTGATTCCTCCGCATGCTGCTGCTTTTAAATCCACTCTGCTGGGGAGACCGGAAGCCATTTCATTTGAAAAAAACTCTCTCTTCCCTGCGCGCATTGCACCCTGGGATATGGTAGGCCGCGGAGTGTACATCAGATGTATCCTTCAAATTGGGGAAAAGTAGGCTGCATTCGTTGGCCGCATTCAGAGAAGTCTCGTCTTTTTTTTTATTGGGACAGCCTTCTTTCGGCGGAAGTGACGTAAGTGGTCTACGAATGCACCGTTCGAAGGATGCAACCCCTGAATTGAGACACGGCCAAGGAGGAAGACACCGAATGAACAGACTTACAAAACCCACAACCAGACAGACAACACTAAAACCGTGACATAAACCTAGGAGTGTGACATCCCCACTATAGTCATCATGTCGCTGTGTCCCTGGGCAAAACACTGTCATCTCGGGGCTATGGGCTGTGAAACTGATTTCAGGGTTTGTAGTTATTTAATATAGATTGCATCCTGATATAAAAATATCACCAATTTCAGGAGAAAGGAGTGTCTTATTCTCATTTTTGCCTCATTTCTCATCTTTTACAACTTAACAGAAAGTTAAATTCTGGCTTCTGACTGATCATAAATAGTGTAGATCTTTTTTTTCTTCTTTTAAATATTCCATTAACCCAACGACTATAAATGTGTGTCTTAACAACATCTGTTCTATAGTTTTCTGTCTTTTTTGTTAATTAAATCAGCCTATAAAGCTTATCTATTTGTCATTTTGAGATATAGAGAATTAATGGTAGACAGTTAAAAGTAAAAGAAAGAAATTAAAGGGGAAAAGTGTGACATAAATGTTGGATAAGCCTTAATATCTGGATGGAATTGACAGATTTTAAGGACGTATAAAATGTTGATTGCAGTGATAACAGTTTTTGCATTTTCATTATGTCTTTAAAGGCCATTTGTGTCAAAGAGAGTTAAGGAAACGGATATGTTTTTTCATCAAGAGCCTTCATTAGCCAGTCATTTTTATTTCCATCTTAATATTGGGAAATGAGAAGCTTTATTGAACTACTTTCAGTTGTCTTTGGATAACCAAAAATGTTGGAGCTTTACACCATTCATCTTTCACTTGTGCAAGTTTCATCAGTGCATTTTGTGATCAATATTAAAACGTAATACCTTGAGAGAGTTATGAAAATGGACAGCACAAGGCAGATAGAGAAAGTTCAATGATTTTTGGGACAAAGCTTGTCACCAGCAAGTCGGTCCGAACAAATCTAATGTGTAGCAGGCAGGCGGGTGAGGAACAAGCATGATTATTCTAAAAGATGAAATGGGAAACACAGGAACAAATCAGAAACTAAAGACTAGATATATGCGTCATAAAGTGCGTGGCAAAGTAACAAAGGAAGTGGACTGGTATATGCATAATGCAGCGAGTGAATGATGAGGGTTGTGAGAATATCAATTAGGGAGTCCAGTAAGTCTGAGGGAATCTGTTGGACAGGTAGGGAACTGCAACTGAAGGTTTCTGAGTAATTGGGCTCAAGAGAAGGGACAAAGGAACAAACTGACACAGCTTCTGCTGACTAAAAAGATGGTACACTGACTTGTTACTGAGAGAATTGTGTCTTTTCAGTCCTATTGTGCACCTCTAGCAGCTGTTGAAACGTTACATTGTAATGTAACTGTGGTGCAGGGGGCATAATCTTTATACCTGAACTGTGCCTTCCATTGGCGTCCTCCCTTGGGCTTAGCAAAGGGCAAATCTATTATTATACTATTATTTTTTATTTTTTAAATATTGAAGTTAAAAGCATCAATCTGGTGCACTTTGAGAGCAAAATGAAGAGATCTATGGATACATCTCAACACCCATATGAAACAGAACTGTAAACAGATTTACTTTTTCTTTATGGATATTTTACAAATCACTCCCCTTTTAAGACCAAAATGTCTACATGCACAGCAGAAGATGGCATCTTTTTTACAGGAATATTCCAGCCAATCTCTGTTTTGAAACCATGAGCTGCAAAATGAGCGCCTTACCCCACTGTACAGGTGAGTTGGGTACTTTTTTAAATATACCTGGGCAGGCTCTGTTTTGTCGAGGTCTTCTGGCACATGCGGGCCGCTGAGGGCTGGCGGTGTTTGGGGCAACGAAGATGGCTGCGGCTGCTCCGCCTCCGTGGGCGAGGCGGGCAAAGCCGGCGTGTCGGGCGGGAGGACGTTAGTGTCCACGACAGTGGCCACAGGTAACGTAATGTCCCCATGATCTGAACTGTTATTACCTGCAGTAGATGCAGTGTTACTGCTGGCGATAAGGGCTGGTTGTTTTAACCAATTTCTGATGTCCATCATTGACTGCTGTGTAAGCACCTTGCAAATGACGAACGCGCAGGGGCACAGGTCACGCCCACCTGACATAATAACGTTACTTACCGTTTAAATTGACCAAATGCAGCAGACAATGTTATTTAACCACAATTACAATTTATTTTATTTCAACTATATTCTTCTTCTTATTATCATTATTATTATTACTACTATTATTGTTATTATATATGTAATATTTTTCACTTTACATATATATTTTTTTCACTTTTAATTATTTTTTTTTACTTTTAATTTTTCAAATGAGGGTTCATAACGACTCAACTGAGGGTGCAATGCACCCTTATTTACCCCCGTAGAACCGGGCCTGGCCACTTTACATAGCATGTTTATTTAAAGTTTGCTGACGTTACCCCCCCATGAGCCTTTTAAAGTACATAGTGTTATATTTATAACATTTTCCTGTTTCTGTCTATGGTTAGCTGTGTACATGCCAGCTGACTGTAATTGTTCTTGTGCAATCTGTCACGACACGGTGACACTGAAACGGATATTGCCATGTTCTATTTTGGAGTAAGTATCAAAGCTTAAATTCATTTGCCAACATGACCATTGACAAGGGGCTAATAAAGGGGCCTTTAAAATGTCATCTCAGTCAGGCCATGTGGCTTTGGTAGCTTTTATGTGTCTAATGTGCTCCTCACTGAATTAAGCAAAGACATATTTTTGGCCTTTTAGCAAGTGCCAGATTTTTATGAAAGCATGTTTTTGAAGTATCTACTTAAAACATAATTTTGTTGGACAGCATATCCGTATTCTATCTGAGTAGCCTGTTTTTGTTATGAATCTTTTGTTTATTACTTTTAATCTTGCCCTTAACCTTCACTTTTATGTAATCAACTGTTCCAACTCCACAACATCAGTGTTTTTTTGGGAGTACTGAGACACTCAAAGGGGGTCTTTGATTGGAAATGCAACAAAATTACTATTTTAATCAGATTTAATTCATCAAAAATGTTCCCACTTGCAAACATAGGCGTATTAATCAGCAGTTCCACCCTTTATTATCTTTATTATGTAAAATCGAATAAAAAGCTCATGAAGTCTCAAATGGGACAATGCTTGATTAAATGAGGAACCTCACTTGTGTTGTCAGTATTTTTGCTAATTCAACTTTTGAAAACTTCTTCAAAGGGACCTCAATTGGTGTCTTTTGAGTTGTAAAACATTTCTCTTAATTAGCTTTTAAGAGTTCTAAAAACACAACATATCTTTGTTGTCTTCCACTTGTCCCTCCTGCTCTCTGCTTCACATTATCCATGACCTGCTTTATGAAAAAGCAATATGGAAGCACTTAGTGTTGTCTATCTTTTTCTCCTTCTTTTGCACACACACACGCCTCTCAAAAAAAAATCCTCCCAACATTGATCTAATAAAAAGAGCATACTGTACACACACTTTCGTAAGCCTTAGCCATCGACTCAGACACCAACAATTTACAGCTATCTCCTACTTTCTGCAGAGCTCCTTCCTGTTTAATATTTAATAGCTGTCAGGCCATTGTTTTCTTCCTTTCTCCTGTGTTTCACATGTTTTACTATTCCATTGTACAGTTATTCCTTTCAGCCTTATATCATCTCACAAGTTTAAGACCATTGAAAGATTGCTGGACCATTTTGTTCCTTTATATATGGTGTCACTGTGTGCATGCCTACAAGAGAGATTAACTAACAGTTTTTTTTTGCAGTAAATAGAATAAGACATTTCTATGCAGACTTTTTTAGTAGACTCATTGTTTCTAAGTGATTTTGTTAGTGCCATTTATGGCTCACCAACGTTACATGTTAACACAGAGAGAGAGATCAATAAAGCACAAACACAAATATGGTTGAGATTAATTATTATTCAGTTGCGCAACAACAAACAATAATATTGGAGTAACATCACCTTGCTTCAACAGCAACCAATCGCAGAAATGTCCCCAAGAAGCTTCACACAGGGATATATAGCTACTGTATGAACACACACACATTTTATCATGCAGCTAACCACACAAACGTCACATTCTTTCTCTGTGAATCATACTTGTTCTATGTTCCAGATGTCGAAAGTTCACTTATCTCATGACATCCTTACGAGTAATTAACTAACAAAGGCTTAACTGTTTTATCTAATCTGCTCCTAACACTAGGATGGGTCAAATGCAGAGAAACCATTTTGTTACATAGTAAGTAGGCCTACTGTGTAATGACAATAAAAGTATAAAAAAATAAATAATCAGCCCCTCTTCTCTGCAAACTTAACTCAATAACACATTTGTCTTAACTAACAATGTGACTAGGCATAAGACTGATATAACAAGACGATGGGGCCTCTCTGACCTGTGTGACCTAACTCAACAACAGACTTGGTATAGCTTATCATGTGACCTTAATGAATAAGCCAGAGATACGCTGTAATAAGGATTCTGCCACCACACTTCCTCCATTTATTAATTAAGGTCACATAATCAAAAAGTAACCAACTCACAAATAGCCAAAAAAACACCTTTTTGATTATAAATATAAAAGTGGAAGAAAATACTAGTTGCGCTAATCTACTCTACTAAAATGTCAAATCATTAAAAAACTCAGTATGCTTAAGAGGAAAAAATCAATTCGTCCCATTCAAGTTCAACAAACTTACAAATGACATAACAACAATGTAAAAAATCAGAACACATATACTTTTTAAATTAAAATGTTGCACTTGCAAATCCTCATACATAAACAAAATCTTCCAAAACACTTATAGCAAGATGTAACTGTCGTCCACTCGTTCTGCTTCCGTTATATTTTCCAGTAAACACTTCTTCAGGGGGTGCACGTTACGATCTCCATGC